CATTTTAGTCTATAGTTTATAAATTGGAACACAAACATCTGCTAAGACACCCAGTACCTTTAATTAAGGGCAGATCTCAAATCCCACAATCAGACTTTTGCTTCATAATTTTATGCCTGAATTAAAAAAAGGGTGGTCCAGCCCTTTATTATTCATTGGATGTTTCACAGTTAAGAAAAGTGCTGACATTATTTAGAATTAAAAAATCATGAAATGATTATGACATTATAAACCAGACCTTTAACTACAATTCTGTTCTCAGTAACTTATGCTGTCTCAAAATCTGTCTCTTTTTCAAATATGTCATATATGACACAAGCATGGTACAGTTAAGACAGAGGAAGAGATTTCAGGTACTCTTGAGAAACTATGACACAGCTATTTTCAAATCCTAAGCAAAAATATCTTACATTAAAGAAGTACAGTCCCTCCCTCCCCCTAGTTCAATTACTAAAATCCAAGAGAGGGTTACTAGCTGTTTCAAAATTGCCTAATTATCCAGTGGAATCCAATCTATGTCTTCAGAACAGTCTCTACGGTGGCAATAGTGCTTTTCTTCATTGGGGGATTAAATTGGTTCACGTGCTCTGAATAACCTAATCACTGCTGCCAATACAGCAACAAATGAAGGGAGAAACCTGCCTTATGAGCTAGAAAAATATTTACAGGCCACACTACTCCAGCAAGAACCATTTTAAAGCTATTTCACTGTATCAGGCAGGACATGAGGCAAAATCAAATATCTATACCTAAAACAAAAAGCCCACAACAATAATTAGGTTACTAAGATACCTTTACTTAAGCCTATGAAGAAATTTTCAAGAAAGATGGCTTGGGGGGAAAATGAAGTCCAAACACCTAACACTAAAATGCTGAGCAGATAAACAAAGAGCATAGGAGACATGCACAACAGTGTAATCATTACAGAAAAAAAAAAAAAAAAAGGTAGAAAAATCAGCCAGAAATATTAGAAAATAAAAACTATCACACTAATCTCGTAAGTACTAAAACACTAAAAACATATTCATTCTCTTCTGTTAATTAATTTAAAGGTTTACTATTCTGCATTCTTCTATTTAATGAAGCCAACAGCAAATAATAGCTATCCAAACCCAAGATGAATTTGAATATTAAATACACAGATCTATCTGTTAAGCAGAAGTGAACTAGCACAGTTAGTTCTGACAATATTAGAAACTAAGTAACCCTTCATTCAAAACAAGTATTTCACAATTAAAAAACAGTCATCTATGACAATCCACTAAGCAGAATTCAACAATAAGGCCTCAGAAAATTATGCTCCTAAATGGTTAGCCTTTACATCAGCAAACCTACAATAAACAGGCCCTGAGAACATACCGTCAGGGTTTTTGGGATACATTTCTGTCATTAATGTCCAATATTAGCAGCAGCAGCATCACTCACTCTTCTGTTCCTTTCCTCCTAAAATACATTCCCCAGGAGTCCTTTCAATGCAATTTTATCAGCATTTCCAGGAGGTCTCTCAGCCACATCCCTACACACAGAGGCAGCAGGAATCTCTGCATTTGTAACAATCCATGGCTGCAAGGGAGGGTGGCAGGCACAGCGACTGTACCATAACCAAAATGCTGAGTTCTCTCCTGCAGCACACGTACACACAGCCCGCATCAGTGCCTGCCGCTAACAACAGCAACCACAACGATGACATAAAATCTACAGAAAAAGCATGCATTACTCACTGGGTTTTATTCTTTAGCCTCTTCAGCATGTAATTTACAATGTAGTAGGTATGAAATGAAACATTTTCCCTTTATTCCACGGATACCGCCGTGTGAATACCATTAGACACCATGGACAATAGGCAGGATCAGCTCAAACATTAAGAGCAAATATTTAATGGAAGACTGGTTACCCTGTCTCTCCCTTTCACATCTCTGCCTCATGTATCCAGGCACGGGTGGTACTGGCTCCCTTGAGAGGCTGTAGCTAGCAGCTGAGGCACAACTAAAACATGGCATGGATGTCAAGGAGCTGATGTCACCAAAACAAGTATTTCTCTGATAAACCCAGCAATTCTGTTAGGGAAGCCCTATAAATCGATGGGAATTGTTCAGCTGGATGTGCTGTGTTACACAATGCATTGCAGCACTAAGAGTGATAAATCAGATCAAGATCTGTCAGGATAAATAAGCTGAGACTCCAATAACTAAGCTATAAAGCTGCCAATCAGCTGCTGGGACACGCACTGTCAGGAGTGCTGGCACCTCGGGGCACAGGAGAGAACTCACCAAAAGCCTCTGAAACAACCTTGTTTATTTAATTCTGAAAGAACAGCTCATCTACTGAAAAAGTAAAAGGGAAATGCAAGACTGGTCTAAAAGTCTGCCATCTTTTTCAGGAAACACTGATCAAGCACCCAAGGCTCCAGCAGATGCTGGAAATGCCTGGGAGAGGTCACATTCAGTGTCTGGGAAGGGATGGGAGATGTTTCAGCTTCACTGTCACCTCACAGCAGCACTGCCAGCACAGTTAGCTCAGGGAAAGGGGCTGCTTGTAACCACAGCTGTGCACTTACACTGGGAGCTGGGGCTGGGTCCAACAAAAAGCACAGAAATTCAGGAGCAAAGGAATACAGAGACAATACAAATGCAGATGCTGGAGACTGCAAATTCTGTCTCACAGACAGCACCACATCAATATAAGAGCAGAGGTTCTTCAAGCACAGAAATAACTTTCATTAAGTCATACAAATGGAAGTGAAATATTAATCATGTGGTTTATTTCATTAATGGATTACAGGCTTTTATTTCAAGTTTTGCTGACTGGTACAATCTCAAAACCATATCAGTTTAACAAAGGTGAGGATAGGTAGCAACTCTATTATTAAATTTCAACATAAATGTAAACCCTCCAGTCTGTATTCCTGCACACTTCTTCCAAAGGATTATTGTTCTGAAGGAGCTGGAAAGAAAAAACCCTACAATCCTAGAGAAATACAGATTTGCACTTCAGAAGATCACAAACTATTGGAAAGAGACACTCTGTGACCTAAGATGGACACATCTGAGCAACAGATTGGAAATGTAATTATTTCACAATTGAATAGTTTTATTTAAAAACTCAATTTCAAATTGTCTGTAGTTCTGTAACAAACTAGCAACCCACACTTAGAACTGCTAATTTAAGTAGAAGTTTATTTTGGATAGACCAACTACTTCACTGTTTGTTTCTGGAAAAAAACCAAGGCAAACTCCTAAACTCCTTTATAGTGTAAACGTGATGTTCCAGAAAACATATACATATATGATATAATATCCCCACTTTTAAAAGGATTTCCTATGAACATAACTACAGCAATAAAGACACAAAATAAGAATTGCAGATATGATGAATATTTTCTGAGGCAAAGACAGTGTTTCAGTCCTGACAAAATAAACAGTCCCTTAATTAAACTGTATCACCAATACAGTAACATTTCCATACAGTCCAAGTACAATGAAGATGTTTATTGTGGGCCTTTGGCTAACAAGCAACAATACTGAATGTATTAGTCTATGCTAAATAGGTCTGTTGCAAAAAACAGTTATACCTAGGCCACAGGGCCTAATTTCTATGCAGGCCCCACAGAGGCAAAGAAGTAATGTGCATCAAATTAACTCATGAAAACATGAGAAACCTGATCAGAGATCCCTTATCAAGTACATCCAACTAAACAGGCTTTTTAAATAATGTGTGATTCAATGTGACCTGTAAAACTATACAAGGAGAAATACCCTACAGACACAATAATCAGGTCAGCTGAGCCACACTCAGCTGTGCTTTCTGCAGTTCATCTCGTGGCTTGAGAGAACTAAAACTTCTAACAAATTAACACAAAAAACTTTCCTACTAGAATATCTACACCTTTAATGGGTTCATTAAATTAGGTCTCTCAGGGATAATTTCTTTAACTCTTCTAATCACAGTAGAAGACGCTTTATCTGTTGTCTTTGTTCAGCAAATTAGAGAAATTAACATTGTACATTTACTTTCTTTGTTCCTTTCCAGAAGACAATTTCTATAACCTAGTCAACATGAAAACTTACCTGGCTTTTACAGTCAACCTTTCATCTACTGTAGTTTAAATGTAGAAAATAATTTTTGAACTCTAACTTTTTGGTATTTATTTCACCTCTCTCCATCTTCATAGAAGTTCTCAAGAGTGCAATTATTAGCATTATTTCTCTGTTTAAAAATAGTATTCACAGCTATTACCACTGCACTACTCATCTTTAGCCAGTCTGTCAATGTAAATCCTGATCAACCAAGTACTTTTCTCCTAGTACTTGCTCTTATCAGCAATTAATGTTATCTCCTCTTATATTTCTCAAAGAGAAGAGCAAAAGTTCTTCAAATTCTTCAGTCAGCTTTTCTTTATACTCCTGTGAGCAGCTAAGCATCATCTGGTACCTCTGGCACCCAATTATCCCCATTCCCTTCCTTAACATTTACCAAGATATGAACTAAAGTCCTGATGCCATCCCTCTGTAATGAGAACTGACTATACAGCTATTTAATCCTTTTATCCCTGTGCAGTTCAGGCTATTGAAATACAGGTAAACCATATCAATTATGTGTCCTTCCTCTGGAATTTTATCTACCTCACACAGGATTATTTTTATAGAGACTAATAACCTTTCTATTAAAATGGCTGTATCTCCCTCTTCAGTACATAATTTCTTTCACCTGAAAGTTAAAAAAAATCAAAAGAACCACAAAAAAGCAAAGGCCTACGTTCCAATAGGCATCAAAAATCCTGTTGTCTCCTCCTCTGAATGTCTGAACCACAAAAATCAGCACTGATACAACGATTTATGCAATTTCTCTGTTGACAAAATGTAAAACATTTTACATTTTTTTAAGAAAACAAAACAGATGCACACATATGTAGCACTAATTATGAAAATATTTTAATGTATTTCTTTTCCATGTAACAGAAAAAAAATTTAGCTAGAATTTAATAACATTTTAGTACTCACGATCTTCTCCTGGACAAGGCATGCCTGGTTTCTCTGGAGTACTTGGGAAAACTAAAACAAAAACATTAGATTTTTAAGGTAAAAGATTCTCAGTAGTAGTTTTCCCTTGATTCTTGGATAGATTTACACACAGACAGTTTTTGGAAGCCTTTAAATAATTCTGCATGAGAAATGATGCAATCAAAATTTGGTTCCAGACTGGCAGGAGCTTATACTGGAATAAAGCATGAACAAATCTGTGCAGTGCTGAACTCAAAGCCTCCTGCACAGTTTCAGCTTTGAGCTCCACTTCCTTCCTTCCTCAGCATCGAACTCCAGGACAGCAGCTACACAAAGAAGGATACTTGACAGGCAAGGGAGTCACTCCAACCTCCCACTTAAGCAGCTGCTGGGATTATCAGACACACAGGGGATCCTGAACTGTGCAATACTTGCCATGAATAATCAGCCCTTCGTCTCTGTTCTGACAATACAAACGGAAGGCTTCCTCCAGCTCCATCTGAGATGAGATGGTACAGGGGTCACCTAACAAAAAAAACAACACACAGGCAAATTTACCCCTGAAGAATTCAGTGGAGAATTTCAGTTAGTAAAAAATGTACCAGCTTCAAGTATTGCCTTTCTTTTAATCACTTAATATTAAGCTGGCATTTTGATCAAATGGAACAACACAATTATTCCTTAAAATTTTATCAAAATTGAGTAGACAGAACTATCCTACAGGATAACCAAATATACAAAAGTGAACAAATATGCCTGAAGAGCCCCCCCATTTTCTTGTTGTCTGCTTGTGGTCACATTATTAGCATTACCTTGGGAGGGTTATTTTTGTTAAAACTGGATAATTAATCCATAAATCTACTTAACCAGACACACATAAAGTACAGTATGTCACAATGCACTGAGAGCAAGCAAAGAAGCAAGTGTGTCACTCTGAACCCGTCTCTTTGTGGAACAACCACCTTCCTGCAGCACACCTTGGGTGACAGGTGACCTTATGATAGCTAGGCTAAGTGATGACACCAGTGTCAAGCCACATACTAAACTTTAATTTCTAATTTTTAAAAAACATTCTTATTTTGTAAAATGATGAATCCAGGGCCCAGCTACCTCTCTTTGAAGGCCACTGCTGTTTGATGATCTATAAATGCAGAAATAATACAACATGAAAGACAAAATAATTTCTTGTACTGCAAATCAACAATCCATATTCCTTATATGTTTACAGGATTTTATCATGAGTGAGCTCTTCACAGTTCAAACCTTTTGGACCTTGTCAAAAACAAAGAAACACCATACAAGCCCAATCTATTTTCTTCATCTCTTGGTAGGTTTTGTTTATTCATTATGCCATCGGCAATTGTTTGCTATTAGTTAGTTCAAAGAGAACATCTGTTTGTTTCAGTCAAATGAACTTAAATTCCATGTGGCAATAAGTGAAAACACTTGTATGCAGAAATATGATAACTCACAAAACCCAGGAGGATCGAGGACAGCCAACACAGCAGATTGGCTGAAACTCAACAACTCAAACCCAGGAACCAGAAAAAGGTTGTACAGGTATGTATTTAACCAAGACTAGAGGAAAATACTAGAACAAAGACTAATTTCATTTTAATTTAAGTAAGCTTCAAAAAGCCAATGCAACAGAGAGCCCAACCAATAAACACTTAACAGGACTCATGTCTTAGAATCCTCCAACTCAAAACTCAGGGAGTTTTCCTCTTCCCTGCAATAATCTTCCTTTATTAGCAGGCGTGCAGTTCAAACAGCTAAGTACAGGCAATGTAATTATCTTCCATGTCCTTCTGATCAGGTTACTTTTTATTATACCACTATTAAACTGAGGTTGGTACAGTTGCCTTTGCCCTTCTTGATATTCAAAAGATATAGAGTAAAATTTAGAGGTATTAATACTACTTCTTGGTGTCATAAAAAGGGCTGAGTCATCTTTGACTACCAGCTACCTCCTTCCAAGGTCAGAACTTTGAAATTCCATTCACTCAAACAGCACTATCAGCTAAGAGAGCTATTAAAAAAACAAAACAAAACACACCACTACAAGTATCAGCCAAACCTGTTTGGTATCTTTCCACCTTTCTGTATTCAGTTCTAGTTCTGCAGGCCCTGGCTTTGACAAGGTGCTTCTGTAGAAGTGAATTTGAGTGCTACTGCAATCAACCCTGATGTCTTGCGTCTCATTTCTCTAAGCTCCCTGCTCTGTGACAGGATTCTGTAGTTAGGCATTTAGAAACAAAAAAACTCCACATTATGATATTTGTTTATACAAGTTCCTCAATGCCCCTTCTCTGTACCACAGTGACCCACAAACCCTGAGAAATATTTCAGACCAGTACCTTCATCATCAATCCACTTGAGGGTAATTGGCTGTTCTTGTTGCAAGTTACACATCTCATGCACTTCATCACAGAGTTCAGCATAGCTCATGGATGCATCCAAATTTGTTATAAGGATGTCCCTGCAGAAGATGAAAACATTTTATCAGAAAATACTTGCATATTTCAACAGTTCCGTCCATGGACACCAAGCTGCAGAATCATACAGAATGAGCAATCCTCACATAAAACGCTCCCACTATGCCAGCACGATTACACCTCACAGTGCTTAAATTAAAAATACTCCAGTATGGAAGAAATAAATGTGTTAATTACCCGTCTTTAATGCATGTTTACTCGGGTGAGCCAAGCTCCTTTATTATAATTATCAGCGTTTGAAGTGTTGTTAAAAACACACCAGAAGTTTTTGTAATATTTTTTTTGTAATCCAGGTGCTTCTTCCATCAGGAGATAAATAAAATGTCAATTACTGTAAAATCCTTTTAAACTGTAGGCTTTTCCTCACATCCACTATATTGTTTGAGATGAAGCTTTGACTAGGTGAATCCTCAAAAGTTGTAATTACAGGAAAATTCAGATAAAATCTTACTCAAATTCTGCATCTTTCACTCTACCTTTGTAGTGTTTAGAGAACGTGAACCCAATACTGAACTCTCTATGTAAACTATACATTATCTCAGGAATTTGCGACAGTAACTTCTGATATAATGGAAGTTCACAAGTCCAGTCAAAGCAGGTCATATACTGAAGACAGGAAAAAAGATTATGCAAAACAAAGTCTGATGATAAAAACAAGACTCTCTACTATTTTAAAAATAGTAAATATTTTTTATATTTCAAATAACTAAGTCTGGGAAATCAATTAATAAACAAATGCAAAAAGAAACAGGAGATGAACTTCTATCATTTCACTGCCTTCAAAACCTTCCAGACGACAATTAGGACACTGTTTTGTAGTTAATGGCTACTGACATGTGTAATTCTTTCCCCTCTTAGTTTAATATAGGAAATATATCAGAAGTTGTCCAACATGAATGAGATAATTTTTTTATTTCCATACTGTGTGACAAGTCATTTTAGAAAAAATGTTATACAACATATTCTGCCTACTTGTGTCTTTCAGCCAGCAGTTGAACAGTACTACACTGAAATAAGAAACTTAAACGCCACAACTTACATTTTAAATTATATTCATTAATAACTCACCATTTTGCCTTTGCTAAGAAAAATTATGATCAGCAAAGCTCTAAAACAATCTTAAAAAACTATACTGCTTCAAATTCAGATTAAAAGCACTGCTACCTTTTCAAGTGTATCTTTAATCTATACTTTGTAGAGCTCTCAAAGAACAGCAACTTAGTAATTCTTCACAACAGCAACAGCAAAAGAAATACATATGCCACTGCCAACCTGTAAATCTGTATCACCCATAACACTGAGAACTGTCAGGTGAGGTTGAGTTTAAGAACATTCCCCGGTCAAAGAAGTCATGTTTTATGCATTTATGAAAGTAAGAGACCAAACTGGTTCTCACAGCAATGTTTGAGGGCTGGTACAATGCCTTGCCCAAAGACAAGGTCACCAACAAATGCAGCTCATTATTTAAAGCACTGCCACCACGTGCCACTCATGAAATCAAGCAGCTGTAGATGTGTGGTAACCGTGGACAACCACACTTTCATAAGTATCTACATAACATTCAGAAACTGAAAATACACTGTAAGATAACACTACTACGCACTATAAACTCCAAATAAAGCTGGCAACCACTAATGAGCCTTGAATTGTTAAAATTATTATAAAGATCTCATTCTATAAGTAAATTAATGAACTTCATATCCATGATGTCCATGTTCCTTTGAGACTTACTTATTTAATCTTGACATCTCTACAGCCACATCAGGCAATCAGGGCACAGGGAAGTGAAAACCATTCCTTATTTCACACTACATAATCCCACAGGACAGTTTAAAAAAAAATATTTGAAACCGGACACTACACAGTAATATGAAGAGCTAATGACCTGTAAGTTCTGTCTGAGCAGTTACAGCAAGAGAAATAATTCCAGTGACAGATCAAACATGTCACATCTTAGAGACAAGATAATACACAGCAAACCAGACTGCACCACTGCTCTGTTTCAGTGATTTCAAGCAACCAGGTATAAACTAGAGAGGCAACCTGTGTAATTCTTAGTTTATCACTGCAGTTACTTAGTTTTAATTTTGTAATCTCTTCTGGCAGTGATTTCTAGTGTGCTATGTTAGGAACTCTGTCACACCCAGAAACAGGAATACCCGAGATACTCGGCCTCCAGAGATACACTCAACATTCATATTTCAAACTTCCTCATGCTCAGATTTCTAACAACGATTTCAATATGGCATCTGTACTATTATTTTAACTTTAGCAGCTACTTGAATAAGTTAGTCTCTAATTCTGAAGATGCCCTTGATGATTTCCTGCAGTCTGTCAAGCTTGTTCAAAAGCTGAATGCAGTACTGCAATGGAGATACTGAGGTGATCAGTTGTAGAGGCTATAATGCCAGAAAGAGTTTGACTTCACATAATTTGATCAGCAGAACAAAAACAAAATTCACAGAGCTTGGAACTCTTGTTTGTAACTTCTACAGACTTCACAGCTAATGCAAAAGACTGAATGTAGTGTTGCAGGAAAGACTACATAGTTTATTGTAAAACATGGTAATAATAATTACTTGACTTCTAACATTGACACAATTATTACCACCTCCCCCAGTTCTGCACACAAGTTCCACAGACACACTCCTTATATCAACACTACCTGCCAGCAAGCCACCACAAATTATTTACACACAGTTCTACTGATGTTTGTAGTGCCTTCCCTTACAGACCTGAGGCAGCCCTCCCGTTGCATTACCTCATTAATTTAATTGCTCTAGAACTCTAAATTCAGGACTTCAAACTACATGGCACAGATGAACAGGTACGTTTAAAAAGAAAACATTTTGTTTTCAACAAAATTTGTGAAGTGACTTGCATAACTACATCACATTTAAGGCAAAACAGCCTTTTTCTACACCATAATATAAGAACATGCACAGCAGTAGACACATTTACTTACTTAACAGTAAAACATCAGAAAAGATCACTCAAGTCAAGTATTAAATGCCAACAAGTTCAGTCTAAATACTTCCAACCAAGTTTAAGGATCTACTTGGGCCAAATATTTAACTTCTCAAATGCCTTAAACTCAGGCCTTGAAGGAAGACACGAGAGACTAAAGCATTATTTTACAAGGTCCTCAGAGTGGCAGCAAACCAATTAGATCAAACATCCCTGAAAACTCAAATTTCATGTTGCTGCAATAAAACCTTCCTGTTTACACTGACAACTGAGTGAAGTCATAAAGGACCATAACATGCTGATTATAGACAGGATACAATGTAATAACTGCATCTGGATACAGAAGATGGATCTAGACCTGGCTGTGACTGTGGGAATCAATAACCCATCAACTCACAATAACTGTGGGTTTGTCAGTTATGCACATTTTCTCCCGTTCTGAGACAAGACTAAATTAACTTTTCTTCTTGATCAGCACATTGCAGGAGTGTGACTGGTATTTTAATAGCTCAGAAGTTTATCTGCCTGATGTGATATTAATTACAAATCCACCAAAGCCCTGGTTACTCTATCACTAGGTCAGACCACAAACTCCTGCTCAATATGCTTCAAAAATAGACAGGTCACAACACAGAGGAAAGGACACACTGACTTACCCACTGTAGTGTGTTTTTACTCTGATGAAATCTTTGTTCAGGTCAATTTTGGAGCCCATTCTGCTAGGCATGGTCTGTATTTAGCAGCTATATAAAATTATAAGTATGCAAAAATAAGTTGATTTAAGATAGATAATAGATTTTGAAGTGAAAAGCTTCACGTGAAATGTATTTCTCCTCCAGATGATTCTCAATCCAGCTGCATGGATAAAAAAACCAGAATACTGATGAATATACACACACTGCTAAACAAGTTGTGTCAAATTTTAGAAATACAAATAGCTTTACATAGAACAGCAAAAAAATCAAAAGGAAAATGTGTAAGACCCTTGACCTGCACAGAAATTCAGTAAGATTGGTTAAAAATACCCTGTCCGATTTAGCTTTACAGAAATATCCTAAGCATTTGAGGATGTTTTCTTAAAAAGTCATCCAACAGCTCTCTCCTGGCTGAAATAACTCCACAAAAGTTTCTACTTATTCATCAACACAGCATCTTACTTTTTTCACCCAAAGAATCAAGTAATTAAAAATAGCTTTTCTGTAAATAAAACACTGTAGCCAATAACTATCAGTTACAAATTTACCCAAGAGAAGCAGCAGAGGAACTCTGAGGGGCAATTAGCATAACTTTATGACTGGAGCCTGACAAACATCCTGTTTATTCTAAATTACCACCTCACACATGAATGCGTGTATCCAGACACTTCCCTAACCCCGCTGTCCGGGCAAGCCAGGCCACAGGTACCGGGGGAGCGGAGACTCCCGAACTCTCAACCCGAACCTCCCGCGGGGCTCAGGGGAACACGCGGCCCCTCCCACCCACCCGGGGTCCCCCCTCAGCCCCGGCCTGCGGGGAGCGGCCGGGACGCGACACCGTCGCTCGGGACGAGGTGGCGCCGGCACTTCTCCCGACGGAGCGAGCTCTGCCCAGCCTCCCCACAGTGAGCTTCCGGACTCCTACCTGCTCCGACCGCGGTGGTCGCACCCCACACAGCAGGGCCCCGCCGCGAGCAGGGGCCGCCCCCTGAGCCGTGGTCGGCTACAACTCCGCGGCCTCAAGTTGCTCAAAGTCCCGCAAGGAAGTTTCGAAGCGGACTTTGCCTCGTTGCCGGCGGTACCCCGGCGGAGAGCAGCAGCGGCGGCGGCCGGCAGGAGGAGCCGCGGTGTCCCTCAGGTGCCCCCTCAAGTCCCACCCCAGGTGCCCCCGGCGCCCCTCAGCCACTGTCCAGGCTCAGTGCCCCGCGCCCGCGGCAACATGGCGGCCTGAGGGCGGGAGGCGCAGCCAATGGGGAGCCAATCCCCGCCCGGGTTCCGCCCCCCCGCCGCCAATCGCAGCGCGGGAACCGTTACCTGGGGAGCCGGAGCGTCCTGGCCAACCAGAGTGGGCGGGGGGGGGCGGTGGGGAACACCTGCAGCCAATGGGAGCGCGGCGCTGCGGGGGGCGGCGGCTGAGGGAGCGGGGCATGTGTGAGAGGACAGGGGTCTGCTGAGGGGACAGTGCTGAGGGAACAGGTGTAAGCGGACAGGGGACTGGTGTGAGGGGACTGTGCGTAGGGGACAGGTGAGGGGGACAGTGCTGAGGGGGCAGGTGCCGAGGACTAGGGAGACATGTAAGTGAGGACAGTTGTGAGGGATAGAAGACAGTGCTGGGGGACAGGGGACAGGTGTGAGGGGACTGGTGTGAGGGGACTGGCCCTGTCTGCCTCCCCCCAGAGATGCCAGAGCTGCTTTCCAGGAAATTTCAGCAGGAAGCCCCAGCAGTGATGTCCCGTGAGTGTCAATCCAGCGTCCAGTCCGGGGAGGGGCCACTCAAAGTGGCTAAAGCAGGAAAACCACAGCTGAGATAATAAAGAGGGAATAATATCAGACTCGCCAGACCAGAGAGAAAAACAATATATTAGTGGTGGAGCAACCAGAGTTCCACAACAGGCAACCTGTGACATGGTTAATGCCCTTCACTTTGTAAAGTTGGGTTTGGATGTTTTTCCCTAATGATGCTGTGATATTTTGCTTCCAAACTGTGAATCCTCTGTGACTGAATCAGGATGTCCTGTGTTTTCTTCACATAAAGCTGGGATGGTGAACTTGAGTCGTCTAGCGGAAATGCTGCTCATCCTGCCCAAACAGTTGGTTTCCATGTGTATTTTAAAACTTTCCTAAGCAAATAAGCTATCCAAGCAAAAGGTGTTGCTTTGGGACTTTTTCTTGATGTATTTATATCCACCACTGGGCAACATAACTTACCACATTTGAAAAATAAACCAAAACAGGGAGACACAAATGTTCGATTTTTATTTTTTTTTTTTTTTTTACTACCTGGAGTTGAGTGGTCACAATTTGTATTTTGAAATGGAAAAAAATAATCAGTCCTTAGTCTCCTGCTATTCCATCTACACCTACATCAAGTTTTTTCAGTAATGTTTAGCGCTTTCTCATCACCTTTTTGGGGCTTTTGGGGTTTCTGTGTTGGACAGTTTGCAGCAGTGTAGCTCTGAGACATCTTCCGGTGTTTCTACAATCTTCCAAAATACAAATAAATAATAGTTGGCACTAGTTTAATTAGCAGTAAAATGGGAAAATGTATTCCCATCAGTCAAGATGTTTTCTCTGACACCAAGGAAATGCACCCAATGGCTTCATTTATCAGCCTTTAATTAAATTATTTGTGTGTCCACTGCTAATTTTATCTTATTGAACTCTCAATTTGGTTTCAAAGTGGGCCCTTAAATCTTCATGTGTTTCAAATTTCTCTGCTTAAAATGGAGAACATTATGTAAGGTTGGTCTACAAACATAATTCTTTTAGGTCCAGGTAGACTTTGATCTCCATGTCACATCAATTAAATGCTTCATCTCCTTGAGCTGTTGGATTGGGAGATAAAAGGTTTTCAGAACTGTGATCTGAAGTTTTGTGTGGGTTATTGCTGTTTTTTATTCTAGCACAACTTACCAAGGAGATAAGCTAAGGTATATTTTCAGCGCTTGATGAAAAAAAATCTCAACCATCATAATATTTTTACATCTCACAGAGATATTTTATAGTTATTCACTTAGTATCAGTGCTGTTGTTTTAGAAGTCTTGTTTTGGGATGGTTTGTATTTTCTTACATTACAAGACTGTTTAAACAGTTGAATTTCTCAGTAGATGCTTCCCACTTCTAGGCAGATGGCAGTTTTTGGAGGGGATCTTGGCTTTGCTCTGTGCATTAGCTGACAAAGTTGTAACTGGTTTGAAACACAACAAGTTGTAAATCTTGAGTGTATTCATGACCTTTTTTCGCCCCTTTATTTTCCAGATGGCAGGCATTGACTTTTGACTACCAAGCCATCCTTAACGTAAAAGTTGCAATATTTCTGTCTACTACATCTAGATTTGAAGAGCTGACAGCCTCCTACAGGTAATTTACTTTAATTCCAGGTGTAAATGAGATATCTAAAATTTTAGTTATTTTAAAAATCACCATTAGAATCTTTTCATATCAGATCTTTTAGTCTTAAGAGCAGTGATCTGAAGTGATCTGTTTGAGAAAGAGAAAGCTAAAAAGGGGTTTTGGGGTTTTTTTTCAAATATTTAATTTCTGAAATTCTACATTCAACCACAGCATCCAGTCATGCCACAGATTACTGTAGCAGCAAAGATGTTATTTATTAAATAATCTAATGATGGTAGTCCAACTAATGCAACCTGGGAGTCTGATGTTTCATCCTTCTTGAACTATCTTTTTTGACTAAAAGTTATGAGCATTCTGAGTGTTGCTTTCTGAACATTCTCCATTATTTCCAGGCACTCTTGTTAATTCTTTTCAGGGCTGTACATCCGCAGGTTTCCAGCAGATGGCAAGAGATTCCCAGGCAACGCTCTGGGAATCACGGTTGTGCAGGCGATTCTTACAAGTCGTACGTCTTTATTTAGTGCTTCAGGGTGTTGAGAACTGTCCTTTAAAAATCAGTTTAAAAGTGAAAAAAAAAGTCTTTGGGTTAATGATTGCATTAATATAAAGTACAGCATCGGACACAAGGTACTTGTGGTACTTATCTCTCTGACAAGGCTGACCAAAAACTCCTCCCTCCCAAATGCTCCAATGAAAACATCATTATGGCAGCTACTTCTTCAAGACAACTGTTGCAAAAAAGGGTCAATCAGTACTAATTTCACCTTGGTAGAAGACAGGTATCCTGTTTGTACTTGAATTCATGACTCAAAATCTTCAGCTATATTAGGACCTTCCAAGTTTCCAACATTTTAAAGATTTAGTAGGGATTAGATTGATGCTTTCAGACTGTGAACTAAACAACAAAGAAATTGAGAGAGCCAGCTCATATCTACAAATGCATGTTAAGTGTGAATAACCGGTTCTGTATCACTTCAGAATAAAACAGAATAAAAATGCCTCCCCATAGAATGTCTCTTTAACAGATCAAACCAGCAGCATGTGCAGGCTGCTCTCCAGCCTACTTAATCTCTTCTTTTGCCAAGGAAGAGACTAGATATTGTTTCCACTGAAATAACTGGCAGTGAAATCCTTGGATGCAATGGGAATGAATTTGGGCCACATGCCACAAAGTTTGGGTAAAAATAATAAGGCAAAGCATTAATATATTTGAAACATAAATTGGAGTACAACAGATATTTTACATAATATCAGAAATCACCATGGCAATTCTTTGTAGCCTTTCTTGCTGGCTTGAATATTAGTGTTTTTCTAGCCAGTGTTAAAATAGACAAAATGAATAGCTTCAAGACTATTTTAAGCCAACACCTCCCTTACTTGTCTGTCTTATATAAGGTAGAAGCAACCAGAAGCTGACTCTCTTGTTGACACCTCATTAGCCAGGAGGAGAAAGAATTCTACGAGTAGCCCAAACTACACAACTTTAAAAGCAACTAAACCCAAACCTTTGTGCTTCTGTATTTACTTTTTCAGGATATTTAAACAACCTGTTTGATTTTACAATACTATGTGCACTGTAATTGATAAAGAAAATACAGAATTTCCTGTCCTTCATATATATTCACATACAAGCTTGTGTATGTAAAAGTTTCGCCCACAAAGATGAGGGTAGGATAATCCTAAATGTATCTGTAAAAAATGAGGTTAAAGATATACAGAAATAATTCTTTTGTATTTGTTTAAAGCTGGAAGAAATGCAGCAATAAAGGAAGAACAGCCTGGATAGAGCATTATACCAGATGTTTTACAGATTACTCTGTATTTCATCACTGAGTCTTTATTTAATCTTAAGGCTGTAGTAATTGTAATACTGGAATAGCTCAGTGGCCTATATATTGTTTTGCTACTTCCAGCTCTGCCTTTTCCAATTGGTCAAAGCTGACCAATTATTTATTACTGTGGAAATAAAAATGTTCTCCCTACTTCACTTGGTAACCCCATAAATGAAAATTGAGTTTTGTGATATTTGTGCTGCTCTCATTGAGATTACTTACCCAATAAACAACTAATGATACTGGCTTTGCTAGTAATTTACATTACCCAGTAACTATGTTAAAGATGTTTGGGCCAAAATTAGGAAGAAGAGTTTCCTTAAGAGTGTGGAGAATTTGAGGCATGACAAACTATCTTTTTCTCTCTATTGCATGTATGGGGTTAGTAGTGTGCAGTGTAACAGAGTGAAACAGGGAGAAAGAGTGTGTTTGTGTGGGAGTGTGTGTGGGAGTGTGCTGCTTGATTATCACAGGGTTGAGTTTCTTGCCTTTTATGTAATAATCACTGGAAGGTGCAAAGGTTTGTCAGTTGAGACTTTCAGTCTCCCTGTTTTTCACAATTGGCCAATAAGATTATATTAGTTTTGCCTAATATGTTCTTGTGCCAAAGAGAATGAAAATTTCCTCATCTTTTCCCCTTTCCAAATGGAAAAAAAAAGGGAAAGAGAACTGAGGATCAAGGGAAACAGAGGTATTGCAAGAGTTAAAGAAAGGGATAAGTTTCCAGAGGTTTCTAGTGTCTCAGAAATGCAGGATATTTGGATTTCTTTTTTTGGACCAATCTTTTCATGGAACAGTGAACTCCCAATAACATCTGATTAGTTCTGTTGGTGCTACACTTTCTGACAGTCTGGGCTTGACTGTCTTCTCAGATTTGGTTTTACTGTGCAGGACTTAGTAAAAGAAATAGCTGTGGCACAAAGCTGGTATAAGGA